TGGTGACCAGTTTGCCCGTGCTTAAAATACTTTTCATTTTTATCATGTCTATTTAATAATTATAATTGTTTATGCATGTAAATAAATTATTTGGTGTAGTTATTATACCATAAGAACTATAAAGACCCTATATAAACTAAATTACTGCTTAACCATGTTAGTGGTAAATAAATATAATTAATGACTTACTTACTATTAATCTGATTAAAAGTTATAAAATTAATAACAAAAACTTCTGAAACAAAGAATTCTTAGATACCTACCATCATCAGTATGTATTATTTTGTATCTGTTAAATTATAGAAATGTTAAGATGCCTACCAACTACAAAAGAACTTCAAATCAACAAAGCTGGAATGCAGTGAGCATGAAAAAAGTAATTGATGCAGTTAAAAATAAAAAAATAAGTTACAATAAAGCTGCCAAATATTTCAACGTCCCAAGAACAACATTAAAAAGAAGAGTTGAAGATATTAATATTGATGCAACAGGTATGTATTTATATTATTAAATAATATACTTAATATCTAAAATATACAATATAATAGAGGTATATTATTATATTTGTTCAGGTAATAAAAAAATTCTTGGTCGATTTCGTTCAGTTTTCTCTAATGATCAAGAACAAGAAATTGTAAATTACCTATTTGATATGGAAAAAAGATTTTATGGACTAACAATAAATAATATCCAAACATTAGCTTATGAATTAGCTGAAAAAAATAATATTGCACACAACTTCAATGTTACAAAAAAAATGGCTGGTAAAGACTGGGTAAAAGGATTCCGAAAGCGCCATCCAGAGATAACACTTAGGTCCCCAGAAGCTACGTCCTCGGCTAGAGCTCATGCATTTAATCGTCCAAATGTGATGAAATTTTTTACTATTTTACAAAATGTTCAGCAAATAAATAACTTCTTACCACATAGAGTTTTTAATGTTGACGAGACTGGACTAACCACAGTTCAATCAAAATGTTCCAAAATGTTTGCATTAAAAGGAAGAAGACAAGTAGGTTCTCTTACTTCAGCAGAGAGAGGTGTCTTGTCAACAATTGTAATCTGTATGTCAGCTGGTGGAAATTTTATACCACCCATGATAATTTTTCCTAGGGTGAGAATGAAACCTGAACTACAGGATGGTGCTCCACCAGGAACTATTTTTCATTGTCACCCATCTGGATGGATGCAATTAGAAATTTTTACAGAATGGTTCCAACATTTTATTAATCATGCCAAACTAACAGCAGAAGATCCAGTTCTGCTTATACTAGATGGTCATATGACACACACAAGGAATTTACAGTTTATTGATTTAGCAAGGAAAAATCATACCACTGTTGTGTGCTTACCGCCACATTGTAGCCACAAATTGCAGCCATTGGAAGTTTCTTTTATGGGACCTCTAAATACATACTATGTTGAGGCAATTGAGAAGTTCCTACGAAATAACCCAGGAAGAGTTGTATCTCAATTTCAAGTGAGCAAACTTTTTGGTGAAGCTTACATTAAAGCTGCAACTCATATGATTGCCATAAATGGTTTCAGAAAATATGGAATTGTGCCATTAGATCCGAATATATTTGATGATTCAGATTTTATTGCAGCTCAAACTACTGAAATTGCTGTAATAGATCCACCAATAGCTGAAATTGCTGTAATAGATCCACCAGTAGCTGAAGTTTCAATAAATGAGAATGAAACAAATAACAATCAAGAAGAAACCCAACCTAGCTCATCGTTTACTGTTAGTCCAGTAAATTTAATTCCTATACCTAAAACAAGTATTAAATCACGGTCAACTAACAGGAAAAAATGCACAGCTGCTATTTTAACATCTAGTCCATATAAAACAGAACTAGAAGCTTCCAAAGCCGTAACACCACCTAAAAAACGTTTATTTAATAAAAAAAAACCAATATGCAAACGAAAACAAAATCAAAACAAGTCTAAAATCCCTCCAAATACTGTTTATGAAGATAGTGATGCTGAATGTCCATATTGTGGTGGAACATTTTCTCAATCAAAATCTAATGAAGGCTGGGTAAGATGTTTAAAATGCATGAAATGGTGTCACGACGGTTATGCCGGATGTGAAGAAGACAGTTTTATTTGTGATTTTTGTAAAACATTATCAAACGCTTATTAAGTTACCTATGTGTATTTTATTTTGTTTTGTTTCCTACCATAAAAGTACTAAGTCTGATTAATAAATTTTTACCTGAATTAATTTTAAAAATATTATCTAATAAGAAACTTAAGTTGTTGTTTATAAAATATTGTTAATGCTACCAAGAAGATGCGAAGTCTGATTAATTGTTAATTAGTTTTAAAAATATAACCTAACAGAAAAATAAGTTGTTGTTTATAAAATTGTTAATGTTACTACCAAGAAGGTAGGTACTAGTTATTAAAATTTGCATATTATATACATTAACATTATAGATCTATTATCGATCTACAGTACATTTTCAGTACCTATTAATATATAATAATATATAGGTAATCATGTCAGATAGTTCGGAAATAAGTACATAGGATTTAGATGATGAATTTTTCATGGATATGTTGTATCATCTACCAAGACCAAGGCTTTTCCAAGGTAGATCAAATTCTCTCGAAGAATTGGATGACTTTGATTTTAAATGCCGTTTTATTTAGGTAATATTTTTAACATTTATAAACATAAATTATAAATATTAAAATATATATAGGTATTACTTAATTATTGTATTATTATAGATGTATCGTAGGTCCTACTGTACCGTAGTATCGTATAGTATCGTAATCGATTAGGTACACAACTTTTATGCAACCCGGCATTGGTGTTGTAAACCATTCAACAAATTTCTTGGAGCCACCAAAACATTTTCCTCCATTTTAGGTGTCAGCAGGACAGTTTTCCCCTCAATGTTTGGATAAGCAATGACAGACTGGCCCCAATTCAGTATCCCACTCAACACATCGAACGGGCTTGGAGAGAGTTAAAAAGAATATTAACAAGATGTAACTCTAAGTCAGTAGCTGACTCATACGTTGGTGAGTCGATGTACCGTACAAATATCCTGGAGAGATGAAGTAGTGTACAGAATCAATTTGTACGATTTATGTCTGACATAGAATATGCATATCCTATTATCCTGGGATAGGATTTATCATATGACCAGGGATATTGAATATTGTGCATGCCCTGAGTGCTGAAATGCAGAGTACCTTAATACTTTAAGTACTATAACACTAATTAAAAAAATAACCACATTTTTATCGTAACATAATACGTTATATTACAAAAAAATCATGTGTTTCATTTCCAGAAATCGTGTACGTCGGCAGTAAATATAAACGGTTATTTTTAAGAAACAACCATTTAAAACGGCCCTTTTCAATGCCACCAAATTTTTAAGTTCATAAATATATTATATTAAATAGGTATCTTAATATATTATTAAATAATTAAAATATATAACATAAGATATTAATAATAAGTATATATTTTTATTTATTGAAAGTGACAATATTTTGTTGTCCATATTTAATAAAATATAATTTAATATGATCCCTTGGTAGCTGATGACCAAATAATGCCAAATAATGATTTGTATCATTACATAATATTATTTATTATTAAGTACATATTGCTAAAAAATATTATATAGTATTTTTATTACTATTTGTTTATAACATGTGCCCTTTATCACAAAAATTATGATTATATTCATGTGAGATTAGATACAAGTCCGTTTTGTGAGAAAAGTCACTAGTCGTATAATTATTAAATTCAATGTGATAAAGGTTACAAATCATTTACAATAATGAAACAATAAATTAAAAATATTAACACTTGTTTTGAAAAATCGATTAAAATATTAATTTAATTAATTAAAAAAAATGTATCAACAATACCCAAATATTGTGAATAAAACGTTTTTCCAGTCTTCTGAAAATTAGCGAGTTTTGACGTCCACTTACTCTATCGCTGGTCCCAACGCCTCCTTATTTTTCCCTTTAGTCATTAACACGATACCTACCTTTGAATATAGTTCGTAAGATTTATGTCTTATTCAACCACCAACTTGCCAAAATCGACCACGATCGTTGATCGAACCAATATATCCACTAATAATCTGATATAAAACTATTTATGAATTACATGTAAAAAAATTATATTTTAGTGTAAAATGAAAAACAAAATTAAATAATAGGTATTATGCCAAAGAAATTCTTTATATTTCTTTATTTTTGATAAATTATAACCGTAGCAATCGATTAGTTATAGAACTACTCATTTCATTCCATCTTAAACTCGGGCACTGCAGTTATATAATTACTAATGATGTCTGTAGGAGATAAATTCGTAAAACATTTTAAATACATGAGCTGCTCATTATTTAGTGTTGGCTCCTTCGGTTTCTTCGGTGGTTTTTGTTTAGGTATCATCAATCTGTTGGGTAATAGCTTTTGCACTCTTAAGGTTGGCAGAGGAGAGTCATACATTTTATTAGCTTCACGTAGAATTAATTTTACTGCTTCACACTTTAATTTGATATTTTTGTACTTCTTAGCTTTACTTTCCTCAATCAAATGTAATATTTGTTCTGTTTTTTTCCATAAAGGTTTGGAGAATTCATCTGAATCGTTGAGTACAATTGTTTAAATTGTACAATTGTTTTAAATAATGATATAATAACTTTAGATGGTCGAGTAAGATCTCCATATGGTTTGTTTAGTTCTGCGTAAAAATCCAATGACATCAATTTTATATTAAATAAAGTGTCATTAAAGAAGATGGATTTGATGTTCTTCAAGCTAGTTTGGTTATTTGCAGTTAAAATTTGGTTGATACCATCAATATTTGACACTATATTCTGTTTCAATTTGTTTTTGTATTTACGTCTACCATCGTTATACTGCTGCTTATTGTTCGACACTTTATGAGAATTATTAATCATGTCCAAAATTGACATATTATCTCTAGTTTTTTTATCCAGCATTACCAATCTTTATGTAAACTGTTCTTCAGACTCCCAGTACATTTCTAGTACTGGTTCTAATCGAACTTCTTTAGCAAATTCTTCTAATGGTCTTTGATAAGCGTAACTCATATAGTCATCGTTATTTGTTTTGCTAAAATCGCAATCAGACCTAACAAAATCATAATTTAATTTATCGATTTTAAACTTTTTTTTCCATTCTGGTGGACTTAACCATGTTAAAATCATATAACAACCTTCTGGTATCATTATTCGTTTCAATAGTCTTAGTACTTCATTCTCTACACCTTCATAAACATGCGTACACTCTTCCAATTCGTTTTTTGGAAATTTTGTATTATCTATTTCGAAATTCACTTCATCTTTAATATTTTTTAATCGATTTTCTATGTAGTCAATAAATTGTGAATACGATTTTTTTACTTGTCTAAATTGACTGATCTTGCAGATGTAGTCATTATTATCTTGTCTAATACTATTGTTAATAATTGACCACTGTCTATCAATATACAAAATCGATAGTTTTATATATTCCATTTCTTCTATATCTAAATCATACCTTATATAATGTGTATTCAAATTGTTGTATAAATATTGATGATACACTAATTCAATTATATCAAGAGGTGTTATTTTTTCTTTAGCATTCAACATTTTTTTAAAGGCTATTTTTTCACTTTTTGATTTTACGTTAGTTAAATGTATTATATCATCAATAGTTACATTTTTCTTAATGTCACTTAGTTTTTTTAGTACCTCAATCTTAAAAATATCTTCATTTATTTTGAATTCTTTATAATTTTCGGTTTTTTCTTCTAGTTTTTCTGGTAATTTGAGAATTAATTGTTTTGCCTTTTCTTTAAATTGTATGTTTGAAACTGAATAAGGTCACAAAGAAATCATTGAATCAGAGGAATTAATGTTAAGGTCCATTACTAAATTTGTAAATTTTGTCAAAATTTGAACTTTAAATGGTTATAAAAAAAACGTGCCTATGTATTTTTAATATTTTACAACTGCTATTATAAAAACTTATGGGGAAACTTGTATTAAATTTTCAAGTTTTTTGAACAACGACTAACATTTTTATAGATTGATGAAATAAATATTTGGTGTAAATTTCAAGTTTCTACAATTATTCGTCTTTATATAACAACAAAATAAAAATATCGGTACAACAGAAATTGAGTGAATATCCAATATTGTAATTCAAATGCTCATAAAAATTTAATTTGACTTTCCAGCAGAAATTTTTTATTTGATAAAAGTATACAAACTCATGAAGAATCTTGTATAGAATTTTCAAATCTTATATTTAAAAAGAAAACATTTTTTTGAATTTCTAACTCAGAATAAATTGCAAATGTTCGTGATTTTTACGTATTTTGTCAAAATTCGATTTTTCAATGCTTATCAAAAAAAAATTGTGACTATGTATTTTTAACTACTATTATAACAATATATTAGAAGCCTTGTATTAAACTTTGTATCTATTTAACAGACACACATCTGACTCAGAAATGAGATGCTTGAGACTAGAAAATACTTAGAACCTATAACAGAAAATTTGAGTAGCCAATCTACCACCTCATTAAATGATTTTGACCAACCAAGTACTAGTTCTTCAAATATAAATTCTGATTCAACATCAAATATCAATTTTATTTCAAATTCTCGAACAAGGCAAAAGCGCCAAAAACTTAATAACCAAAATACTACGTCAGATAAATTGCTTAGCTCTGGGAGAACTGAGAAAATTCATAAAGCACTTTCAAAAATGATAGCTATAAACCAGATGCCTATTTCATTTTGCTCAAGTCCGGGTTTTAAATACTTCATGAACGTTAATGATCCTAATTATAAGCTATGCTCTGCAGAAAGTGTAAAAAATCGTTTAAAATTATTAACAAGTGAAATAACACAATTAATTAAGAATAAATGAAGTAACAAGTGTGTCAATCTTTCATGTACAACAGATTGCTGGACCTCCAGATCTTAAGAGTCATATATAACAATTATCTGTCACACTATCGATAAATATTGGAAACCGAAATCATATACATTGACAACTCATGAAGTTGATGAGCCACACACAGCTGTGAATTTAACACATCATTTAAAAAAATCACTTATAGAGTGGGAAGTCGATAAAAAAATTAGTTCAATTGTAACAGATAATGCAGCAAATGTCATCAACGCTGTATCACAGTTGGAATTGAATGATAATATGGAAAAATATGGATTAACGTGTGCAGCACATTCTTTGCAGCTGGCTGTTAATAAAGCTCTTTTGGACGATGAAATTCAAAGAATTTTAACAAAATCAAGTAAAATTGTTTGCCATTTTAAACATTCATCGATATCAATGAAGAGTTTGGAGAAAACACAACAAAAATTAAATTTACCAAAATTAACTCTTTTACAATATTGTAAAACGAGATGGAATTCTAGTTTTTAATGCTAGAAAGACTCTATATTAATAGAGCACCTATTACAAATGTTCTCGCAGATCGTAATATAACAGCATCTAATATTGCCCAAAAACTAGAAATTACAGAATCTGAATGGTTAATTATTGAAAAATTATTAGTACTACTGAAACCATTGCAAGCTCTCACTACTTTATTTTGTGGAGAATTAGAATCTTCTGTTTCAATGGTACGACCTTTAATACACAAAATTGTAACTTCCCATTATGAACATGGTATCGAAGATGACAACATAACGGAACGATTTAAGAACACAATTTTATATCAACTGACCACTCGTTTTGAATTGACATGGAAAGAAATTGTTACTGCAAGACACGTTGCTTCTTTTCTAAATCCAAGATATAAAGACATGGAACATGAACCCGTATCAGCTAGAGAGAAAATTCGATCACATGTCTTGCAGCTTATTGAATCAGTTGCCCCAACTATTACAAATCCTAATGATACAGAAGAAAACGATTTGAAAATGAATAATGTGTTAGCATTTATTTACAAAGACCATACTAATAGTACAAATGACGCATTTACACAGTTTACGGGATATCTTTCAGAACCTCAACTTCGATTTGATTTAAATCCCTTAGAGTGGTGGAGAACACGAGAAGAAAAATATCCAGCAATAGCAACTATTGCCAAAAAATATTTAGCAATCCCATCTACATCGGCAAGTTCAGAGAGGTGTTTCTCAACGGCAGGTAACATTGTGACGCCAAAAAGAAGTTGCCTTCTTCCTGAAAATGTAGACATGTTGGTATTCTTATACCAAAACAGAAAATGATATTTCTAGAATTATAGACTATAGTTCTTGATATGTTTAAGTATTATTATTATTATTATTGGTTATTCAACTGTGAATGACGTTTATAATTTATATTAAACGTTTAATAAATATCGTTATTAATTATATTAGTAAATCTTCATTATTTCTGAAATAATAAAATTCTTTTAAATGCACGTAGTGTATTTCACATTTTCACGTGTAGGGTTTATAAATACACGAAATTCACGTGTAAGATTTTTAAATACACGAAATTCACGTGAATTACACGGTTTTCATCACGAATTTTTTAATTTCACGGGTTATAAAAGCTCTAGTATTTATATACCCAAGTCCTATTACCTAATATAATATATATTATAGACTATAAAGCATAGGTACCCCAAATAGGCATTTGGAAAATAATCATAAAGTAACGATTAATGATGGTCTTTTCTGTGGCTATTCTAAATATAAAAATTAGTATTTTTATTTTTGTAGCCATTTTGAGCCAGTGAGGCCAGGCTGCCTAAAAAAATATATCAGTGATATATCAATATTATCGTATGTTTAAAATATCAAAATATATCGATATATCAAAGCAAAATATCGATATTTGATATTATCGATATGTTACAGTTAAAACCCGAAATCCGTCGAAACTAGTTTTAACTAGTCAAAACTAGTTTCCACAAATCCCTTTAGTCATTTCTGGTTTTAACTAGTTAAAACTAGAATTCACAGCAGGTTCAAATAAGTCAGTAAAAACTAGTTTTAACTAAAATGCATGACAATAATATTATATTGTATTTAAACTCGTACTACATAAAACTCACGCGACCACAGACGATCTATAAATATTGCTCGATAATTATTTGACCGGTCGACTATCAAATTAGAGCGTTATGTTCAAAAACTTGTTGGTAAAATTATTGTTTATTAGTAAAATCAATGGTTTTTTTATGTTCAAATAATGATTTCTTCCAAAATATTCTAAGTACATAAGCACATTGCACATAATAATTTTTGTTATAAATCTACCTATCAGGAAAAAATAACATCGTAGACTTGGAAAAAATATTTAAGTTTTTAGAGCGTTATGTTCAAAAAGTAGATGGTAAAATTACCGTTTATGAGTAAAATCAATGGTTTTTTTATGTTCAAATAATGATTTCTTCCAAAATATTCTAAGTACATAAACACATTGCACATAATAATTTTCGTTATAATTCTACCTATCAGGAAAAAATAACATCATAGACTTGGGAAAAATATTTAGGTTTTAAGAGCGTTATGTTCAAAAAGTAGATGGTAAAATTACCGTTTATGAGTAAAATCAATGGTTTTTTTGGCATATTTTCATCGTTTTAGAGGGTTATTTTGTGATTGAACATAAGCCTATAAAACTTTTACTTCTTACCTAAACTTTATGAAGTTGTATTTTTCTGATAGACCAGGTCACGACGGTTAAGAAAATATAACTTTTGTCATAGTACGAAAGATATTTTTTGTTTGAACATAAGCCTATCAATCGAAATGAATAAATAAATAAATAAATAAATCTGCGAAAATATATGAAATTGAGGTACGTTCTGTACATATAAAGATTCTGCGTGATAATATCTATCAGAAAAATTGTTATGTGTAATTGGTTTATGTACTTACCTATAAAGTGGAAATCATTATCCATATGTAATTCTCGGCTATAGTCTAAACGATTACATGATGTACTAACGCCATATTCTATAGAAATAATAGACTCCCCACTCTTCTCAAACACATTTGATACAGCACATACTGCTTCCTGTATTGAATTCTACCTTCAGAGTCTTTTACCATTGTAAACGCCCTTTATAGGTTGGAGCGCATGCGTTAAAATATAAAAGACAAAGGAATTCGGCCAGATGCCAGACAGGGACAATTTAATTTCCTTCCACAACACGTTATAAACTTATAACAATCTTCTATTTTTTTTTATAAATACATATAAGTTTTGTCGTAGATATATCATCTTAATAATGTAAATTATTTATTATTATTATACATTTGTTATTTAAATACTAATTTAATAGCTGAGGTTTTTTTTTTAAATAAAATTTTATAAAAATCAATCTAATCTAGGTCACGAAAAAGGAACTAATAGAACTAACTAATCCCAAATATATATTTCAATAAAACAGGAAGTACCAAAAAAAAAACATCAGACAGTTTGAAATCGTTTCGGCATGATGGAAAAAAAAAACCTAAAACGTTTGATTCATATCTTATAATATTATTTTTTTGAGTAGTTAAACTCTTAAATAAAAAAAGTCAGATTCATTTAAATTATATAGTTATATATTATAGTTAATGTTCCAATTATATTTTTGTATTCACAATAATATATTTTCTTTACAATGCTACACTTTCCAACTATGGTACGACGGATGTAATTTTGAAATTGTTGGTATGCCATACCAGATCCTCTTAGATACGACATATAAATAAGCTGTTGCAGTTGTAAACTAAGTCCTTTACCTATACACAAGTTTAAATGTTTTTAGGTGTTGAATACAATATACAACAAACAAAAATTAAAAAAAATATACTGAAAGATACCTTGTAAAAAGTCAAATAAACTTCCATTTTTCATAAGTTCAGGAATAATATAAATTGGCATTTTCATAGAGTAAATAGCGTGTAGTTGATGTGTGTGAATTTTCATAATTGGCTTTGTTTTGGGGTCCATGGTACCTGCATTGCAAAATACATAAATTAGTTAAAATAGTTTAGCATCATCAGCGAATAAAAGAATATTAACTGAGTTATCATAAATAGATGGTAAATCATTAATAAATATTATAAATAAGAGGGGTTCTAAGTGTGATCCAGAGTTAACCAAAAATTCATTAGAAACATAACTATTAATTTTTACCACCTGGGTACGAGAACATAGATAAGATTTTAGCCAATTGAAGAATGTACCATGTAGCATAGTATGCTCACCCCCCTTTTTTTCTTTAAAAATTAAAAAAAATTTACTTGTCTTCAATGTTTTGAAGCCAAACGTCCCCGGTCTTAAATTTCTGGCCTTTTTTAATTGGGAATTAATAAATTGCCACTGAATAATTTGACTATGGGGCACATAACCGCTGTGTTCCGCTTTCTTCACCTATCAAAAAAACAAACATAATTTTATAATTTTAACACATCAGAAAGAATAATATGGTTCATGACAGATTAAGTTTTTTATACATAAAAATTCATGTTCCTATTGTAGATATTTTTTAAATTAAAAGATTAAATCTTACCTGTACACAAGGTTTAATTTTAGCAACCTCCATATAATAGTTTACTAACTCCTGTATAGTCTTAAAGGTTCTTCGATGAACAATGAAGTACCCACAATCATATTTCTGAATTTTAAAATGTTTGACTCTACGACCTTCGCGAACTATTGTAAAAGCATATTATATATAAATATATACATTCATATCTAAAAAAAAAACTAATAAAACTAATTCAAAATCGGTTATCAAAGCATATTTAACCTACACATATATATATTATATTAACAAATAATTATTTATATATATATATAATAATATGTTCAATTAACTCACCAGACAAAGTGTAAGCATGTGATGCATTCTTGCAGGTCTCTCTAATTAAAAATGCTCGGCAATCATTTTCAGGCATAAGAAGTTGTTTCTCGGCGTCAAACCTTTTAATATTACGAAAGTACCACGGCTCAGCATTTAAAGACTTGGAAACATATTTATTATTATAATTTAGCGACGCGTAGTCGCGTAAAGGCACGTCAGGTCGGACTGATTGGAAATTAGGAAGACAAAAGCATTGACCCATCGTAGTTTAAGCGCAGTTTAAAACAGATTGCTGTTTAAAATTGATTTCCTTATGGTAAGTTACTATATTTAATAATAAAAATAATCTTGTTGGGGATACCCCTATTTCCGTTAATTTTTTTCTACGTCATATCGTCCGTAGAGTTCTTATCTTATCTTATCAAGGAAAATTATCTCCTGGGGTTACCTTATGTTCAATTATCATATGTTCAATTACCTTATGTTCAATTACCATTAACTAGGACGTAAAAAATAATAAACTTTAATAATTTTATACATTCTCGCGCTTGCTTGTTACATGTTTCTCCGTTCAGTGTTAAAATTTTTTCTGTTAAAATTGATTGATTTTTGTCATAGTACTATAGTTATTTTATTTTTTTAATTATTATGAAAAAATGTTTTTTATGACCAACCAAAATATCGTAATTTTCACCCCATTTTTCGGTCTTAGGGTTGATAAAAATTTTCCAATTGTAAAATTTGAGTAAGAATACCGTTCTGAAAATTTTAAAAAAAAAATCAAGTCGATATGTGCTATATTAAAGAAAATATTTTTTCGTAGATTTCTGTTGAAGTCCAGGCTGCTTACACATAGCTGTGAATACGTTGTTTTTTAACTCTGCGCACCAAATGTAGTATAAAAAACTGTATTTCTCATCTAAACTATATAAATTTATATTTTTCTGATAGATTATCTCACGCTGAATCTTTATATCTACTAAACTTACCTTAACTTCAAATATTTTTCAAGAAATAACGATTTGAACGTAAATATTTGGACATTTTTCATCATTTTAGCGGGTTATTTTGTGTTTGAACATAAGGTTTATTTTCCTTTATTTTTTACCTAAACTTTATCAAGTTGTACTTTTCTGATAGACCAGGTCATGATGATTAAGAAAATATAACTTTTGTCATAGTACGATAGATATTTTTTATCCTAAATTACTTCGAAAAAATGTATATTGTGATAATCCAAAATATCGTATTCACAGTGGTTTCTTTTTTGAACATAAGTCTATTTACCCTTTAATTTTTAACCAAATTTTATGAAATTATATTTTTCTGATAGACCATTTTATGACGAATAAATAAATATGATTTTTGTCATAGTACTATAGTTATTTTATTTTTTTAATTATTATGAAAAAATGTTTTTTATGACCAACCAAAATATCGTAATTTTCACCCCATTTTTCGGTCTTAGGGTTGATAAAAATTTTCCAACGGTAAAATATGAGTAAGAATACCGTTCTGAAGATTTAAAAAAAAAATCAAGTCGATATGTGCAATATTAAAGAAAATAGATTTTCATAGATTTTTGTTAAAGCCCAGGCTGCTTACGCATAGCTGTGAATACGTTGTTTTTGAACTCTGCGCACCAAATGTAGTAGAAAAACTTTATTTCTCAACTATACTATATGAATTTATACTTTTCTGATAGATAATATCACACTGAATCTTTTTATGCACAAAACTTGCCTTAACTTCAAATATTTTTCAAGAAATAACGATTTGAACGTAAATATTTGGAAATTTTTCATCATTTTAGCGGGTTATTTTGGGTTTGAACATAAGGTTTATTTTCCTTTATTTTTTACCTAAACTTTATCAAGTTGTACTTTTCTGATAGACCAGGTCATGATGATTAAGAAAATATAACTTTTGTCATAGTACGATAGATATTTTTTATCCTAAATTACTTCGAAAAAATGTATATTGTGATAATCCAAAATATCGTATTTACAGTGGTTTCTTTTTTGAACATAAGTCTATTTATCCTTTAATTTTTACCCAAATTTTATGAAATTATATTTTTCTGATAGACCATTTTATGACAAACAAATACTTATGATTTTTGTCATTGTACTATATTTATTTTATTTTTTTAATTACTACGAAAAATTATTTTTTATGACCAACCAAAATATCGTAATTTTCACCCCATTTTTCGGTCTTAGGGTTGATAAAAATTTTCCAACTGTAAAATATGAGTAAGAATACCGTTCTGAAGATTTTAAAAAAAAAATCAAGTCGATATGTGCTATATTAAAGAAAATATTTTTTCGTAGATTTCTGTTGAAGTC